TTTTTTCCTCTCGCGCTTCAATCATTATCTTTCTATTGACACTTAACCAACAAATATAATTATACGATTGTGAGATAAATAAATCATCAAGATGTATTAAATTACAAAGAATGGCTACAAACAATAAATGATAATTATAAGTTTTAGATATTATTAAAACATGAAAAAATATCGTATTATTATTATAAAATGCCAAATAATAGAAATATATGTGTATATAGCAAACTTTTTATTTATTTAGAATTATAGATTTGCTTAAATAAAATTTTAAAATTTAAATAAATCTGTTACAAAATTAAATTACATAAATAGAATTCACTTTTGTGCGAAACGTATAAATGGTTACACATAATATCTCTTTTCCTTCGACTTACAAATTAGTTTATTTTTCATTAGGATCGAAACGTACATTACATCCAAATATCGTAAATATTTAGCATTTAGCAAAAGTTTATGCAAGATATTAAAGTCTGACGCATCCGATATGATATAACACGTCATTATGTTGAAAATGTTAAAATAATGTTGTGATGGTCAAATTCAGGACGACATATGAGCTTCAACTTAATAATCATAATTGCTCATGTGTTTTATATTGCTTCACTCAATTACAAACTGTACAAAAAAAAATTACAATGATTCATTCATAATTATCCGATAACGAAAGATGAATGCTAACAATTTATTTGTTCAATTTCTCGGTGTATTAAGTATTGGTAGATTTTAAAAATTTGAAATGTATAATTGTATATATACGTGTAATTTACTATGTTTTATTGTAAAGAATCTTTCAAATGAAACCTTAAATAAAAATTTTGTTTATATACAAATTTATATAAACAACACCTTATATAAAAATTTTGTTTATAATAAGATTATTTTAAATAAGATTAATATTTCGTTTTTGTGAGATGCAATTGTGATTTATTATTGTAATTTGAATTGCTATTTTATTAACGCGAAAGTAATAGTTTATACAGTAATAAGAAATATTCTAAATTACATTTTAAAATTATTCAAAACAAAGAATTAATATAAATCTTAAAATATGTTTGTATAGGATAGAAATTTATTGATACAAAATCATTTTTGATACATAATAATAATATAATATAATTATATATTATATTTTTTATATAATCCTGATAGCAAAAATATTACTTCATAAAATTTTTCACACAACATCATAGACAATATTATTAAATGCTCGCAATAATTGAAAATTTTACCGAATATATTCATAATCATAATCATAATCATATTCGTAATCATTTACACATAATCATTTACGACATAATTCATTTTCAGTGCATTTTATTCGTATATATTACAATCTAAGTAATTTTAAAATAATTTCCAAAAACTTATTTTAAAAAAAAAAAAGTAAAAAAAAAGGTAAAAAAGATAAAAAAATATAAAAAAATTGTGCCAACTAAGAATAAAAATTTGTACAAGATAAATAGAAGTATAAGGAAGAAAACTTGTACAAGTTAAATAGAAATATTTTAATTGAAAACATTGTTACAAAATAGTTGTTTTAATTTTTAAAAATAATATTAAAAGATTAAAAATTTATTTAAAAATTGAAAATTGAAAATTAATAAACAACAAAAAAGTAAAAAAAATTTTAATTAAAAAACTTGGCGCTGCCAATTTTAATATATTGTTTAGCTTAAAAGCCTAAATTTCCAAATGTAAATCAATATAAATTAATTAAAGAAATTAGATCATTAAATTTAAATGTTAAACTAATAATTGGAATATGTTCCAATTTTTGAAATATATATTTAATTGGAATATTAATGTGCCAATTTTATTGGCAGCGCCAAGTTTTTTGTTACCGTGTCTCTTGATTATTAACTATAGCTCTTAGGTTGAATATTTGTTTAAATTCAGGTTATAGGCATAAATATTCTCTCTCTTGGCGTACATAAGAATCGTGAAAGATTTTCAGTTTAAAAATACGAGATACTAAAAAGTTAAATCCATAAGGAGAATATCTTGCTAGTTAGCTTAACCAATAAAATACTAGGATGGGAGAATAGATTCATTGAGAAGAAGTCTCTTCAAATTAAACTCATGTGTTTTTATCTGTTAAACGGATGATGCAAATGCTAGCAAATAGATTTGATTTGCAACAATCTTCTCCCTATTCCACTGAAAAAAAATATTATAAATGTTAATAATATTATTAAATATTATAATTATTTCATTCCTTTAATGTTCGAAGCAATAGATATTAACTAGAAACTTTTTTACATAATTATTAAAACTAGAAAGTATTAGACACTATTTGTATATTCTATTAAATTAATTTGGACACATAATTCGTGAGTAATTTTTTATGTTTTTGTCCTTTATTTCGCTGAAATTATTGCATTCATAAATTTGTCTGCGCCAAAAAACAAGGTTGCACTAGATTTCACGAAGATTAAAAATATATGATTTATAGAATTTACATATGTGTCTACGTTTTCCACCTGATTTCCTATAACGTTTCATTGATCTAATACGAGGCAATAAATCGGACAATCTAATTGTTGAGAATTGAGAAAAAGAGAGAAATCGGAGTACCTTGAATCGCGCTTCCGGTAAGATTTCCGGCAAATGCATATTAAAATAGATCATAATTATTTATAATAAAAGAAAATTCATTGAGAATTCAATCTTGAAAATAATTTAGGTATTTTTAAAGCAAATTTATAAGTAAATTATATATTAATAGTTGGAAATTTGACTCAAAAATAAAAAAATAAATCAAATTAAATCAAATTTAATTTTAAATTACATATTTTAAATATTTTTAAATTATATTTAATAAATTAATTTAATAATTATATTTTAAATATATATTTTAAATTATATATCATGGATATATTTTAAATTATATATCATTATAATCTTGACAAAGTAATGCTTTGATTGCGATAGATTAGATATCGGAAATTTTTTTCGATACTTTTACATAAAAGAAAAAAAAATGAAATTAACAAAGTCCAGATATCGAGTCAGAAGTATAAAACTATTTCTTTCACAATTATTTTTTTCGCGATAACATAATCATGTGCACGTCCATAGTTTGTCTATTGAGTAGATTGGAGCGAGGATTAAATCTCGAATCGTCGGGATTTATTCTTAGCACGCTCTGTTCCCTCTTTCTCTCTTTCTCTCCCCCTTTCCATGTACTTTTTTCTCACCGAAAGAGGAATGAATTATTACGTGCGACATGCATATAATACTTCGTTATATGTACGAATAAATTAAATGCCAATTGGCAATTTGTCCAAATATCTTAGGGCACAGTCACAGCCACGTAGGTGACGTGAAGTTTAAACGCTTGTTTAAACGTTTCATTAGGTAAAAAAAAATGCGAGGAGGGTCTTTCTTGATGGAAATAGAGTTTTCCTTAATTTAAGACTCCTTTTTTCTTCTATGTTTTTTCGTAATATAGATTCTTCAAGTGTTATAGTACTTCGTACATCGGTGGAGTGTTCGTCTCATGTTAATACCCTGATTTGGCCATGAGCGAGTATTTTCAGGAGCGGGGCATCGGGGATTTCCGACGTATGCCAAAAGCATCTCGGCAACTCGGAGAACAGCTACGAAAAGCCGAAGAAAACGATGATCTATAAGAAATAAAATCATGAAAATATTATTAATCGTAAACACAGAATATATTTTAATCTACTTTTTATAAAAAGGAAATAATCCTTATTCAGAATATACTTCTTTTTAAACGTGGAAATTGCTCATTAATTAATTAAAAAGAACTGATAAATCAATTGAAAGATTTAGGAGCAAAAAGATAAGATAATTCGTAAGATTCATTTTTCAATTTCAGTTTTCAGCAGTCTACTTTCACAGTCTTGCTAAGAAATTAATATAAAAAAAAATATTTAAATTAGAAAGAATGCATAAAAAATTTTTTATAACAAGTATACAGAGTCTTTCTTAATAAATTTTTTATAACAAGTATACAGGGTGTTTCTTAATAAGTGCGACAAATTTTAGGAGATAATTCTTTGTCGAAAATTAAGGAAGATTTTTCATATAAACATATACTCCTATATCCCTCCCTGTGGAGTTGCACTCTTCCAAAAATGGGAGTAAACATTAGGTTTCTATTTTTTTCTCAAATTTGAAACAAGTTAAAGAAATGAAATTAGGTAGATATTTTTTAGCAATGAAAAGATTATTTATTAATTTATTTTTTTAATTATTTATTTATAATTATTATTTACAATTTATTTTTCTCAGCCTCCCGTATTGTTATAAGGGGATGAAACTAGCAACCCCTATTCAATTTTTTATTAGATTTTTTATTTTTTATATATATTCTATGAAAAAGCCTGCTTAATTTTGGACAAAGAATCATCTTTTAAAATATTTCGCACTTATTAAGGTTAATTATTAATTTAATTTTTTATTATTTATTTATAATTACTATTTATAATTTATTTTTCTCAGCCTCCCGTATTGTTCTAAGGAGATGAAACTAGCAACCCCTATTTAATTTTTTATTAGAACTACTTATTAAAATTTTTTATTAGATTTTTTATTTTTTATATATATTCTGTGAAAAAGCCTGCTTAATTTTGGACAAAGAATCATCTCTTAAAATGTTTCGCTTCTTAAGAAACACCCTGTATATACGCTTTGGCATGCTTCAATCTCATTTTTGAAATTCTTCCACAAAAAATCAAACAATGATGCAAATTGCACTTTGCATCAATTAAACATCCTCCTCGATATCTAATCGCGGGATAGATTATCGTTGGTCGCGAGGTAGACGAGGAATAACTGCAACGGGCGATCGGCAATGGTCCGCGTTAATGTCTAGATTAGGAGATGTCGAGCGTCCCGTGGGGATTTCCAAGAGAGAAAGCGAACAAGAAGAAGACGAGAAGGAGGAGGAGGAGGAGGAGGCTGACGATGACGAGGAGTGACGCGTCGCGACGCCCGCGAGCGGCGTCGCCGCCGTTCTCGCCCAAAAGCTTCCTGATCGTGTGTGCATCCACCACCCACTTCGTTCCTAGGCGCGAAGCGTGGGCAGCGTCGCTGGTCAGCCCTGGAGGCGTCCCTCGTGCCCATCTTCGGTAGCGTCGCGCATCGCGTCGCGGACGTTATATCTGGCGTCGCGACGCCCTCGGGCCTCAGCCGCTCCTCAGCCGCCCGCCGATTCACAACTCACCCCCACGGTTAGTAGCTAAAGATCGTTTTCGTTCTTCGTGCTTCTTAAGCTCGTGGTCAGTCGGAAGTTTGCGCGCGAACTGTAGAAGCCAGAAGTGCAGGTGAAAAGATCTATCCAAGGACGAGAGAGAGAGGAAAAGTGGAAACGCGTATATCTGTGTATAAAGGGAAAAATTTTGGGCCGAAAAATGAATTTAATTGTGAGATCGCGTTTGCGTCAAATCGAGTTTGAGGAAGAGATTGAATCGATTTCAGATTTTGAAGTGTAACGAATGATGAAACAACGTTGTGTTGTTATTTAATAGTAATGAAGAACATTGAAAGATTGAAAATAAATTCTGAATTATTAAGAAATAATTTATAATAAACAATTACAAGAAATAAATATTGAATAATTGATACATTTAAATTAAATGATACTTTGAATCGATACCTTGAATTTGATAGTGAACTTAAACAATGGCGATGTTTCAATCGATTTTATAATTATTTCAATCGATTTTATAATTATTTCGTATTAAGAATAATTCTGAATTCTTTTAGAAAATATTTGAAAAATATCAGTTTAGTCTGTTTAGTCAGTTAGTCGTCAGTTTAGTCGGCCTGGACTTTGAAACTGTTTAATCTGTTCACATTCGAAAAGAAGAAATAATCACCTTGTTGAAATTTTTTACTCATTTCTTAGAAAGCTTTTCTATTATACTATTCCTGAAAATTAAAATATAATTAATTTATATCATGAATGTCGGATTTTATATTTGTAAGAGATATATAATTGCAATTGTGATGTACTTGATTTTCGCATATATTTCATTAAACGAAAATATATTATGATATTATGTAAAACTATAAGCGGATATCTCAAGATAAAAAAATTAATAAGATTATGCAAATATCACTATAAATTTGAGTTAAAAAACCGTTAATGAACCGTTAATGAATAACTTTTAATTAATTTCTATTAAACGACCTCAACCTGAACGATATAATTCTTTTTACAGAGAAACTAAAACAGTAGCAAGATGTGTGACGACGAAGTAGCCGCTCTTGTGGTAGACAATGGCTCCGGCATGTGCAAAGCTGGTTTTGCCGGAGATGACGCTCCTCGCGCCGTCTTCCCCTCGATTGTCGGCCGACCCCGTCATCAGGGTGTTATGGTCGGTATGGGTCAAAAGGATAGCTACGTAGGCGACGAGGCCCAGAGCAAAAGAGGTATCCTGACTTTGAAATACCCGATCGAGCACGGTATCATCACTAATTGGGATGACATGGAGAAGATCTGGCATCACACCTTCTACAACGAATTGCGTGTCGCTCCCGAGGAACACCCGGTCCTCCTTACCGAAGCACCTCTGAACCCGAAAGCTAACCGTGAAAAGATGACACAGATTATGTTTGAAACCTTCAACAGCCCGGCTATGTACGTTGCTATTCAGGCCGTCCTTTCCCTATACGCCTCCGGTCGTACCACCGGTATCGTTTTGGACTCCGGTGACGGTGTCTCTCACACCGTACCCATCTACGAAGGTTACGCTCTTCCTCATGCCATCCTCCGTCTGGACTTGGCCGGACGCGATCTTACCGACTACCTCATGAAGATCCTCACCGAGAGAGGCTACAGCTTCACCACCACGGCTGAGCGAGAAATCGTGCGCGACATCAAGGAAAAGCTCTGCTACGTCGCCCTGGACTTTGAACAGGAAATGGCCACCGCTGCCGCCAGCACTTCTCTCGAGAAGAGCTACGAGTTGCCTGATGGTCAGGTCATCACCATCGGTAACGAGAGGTTCCGTACTCCCGAGGCCCTCTTCCAGCCTTCCTTCTTGGGTATGGAATCTTGTGGTATCCACGAGACCGTCTACAACTCCATCATGAAGTGCGACGTCGATATCCGTAAGGATCTCTATGCCAACAACGTCCTCTCTGGTGGTACCACCATGTATCCCGGTATCGCTGATCGTATGCAAAAGGAAATTACTGCTCTCGCACCTTCGACCATCAAGATCAAAATCATCGCTCCACCCGAAAGGAAGTACTCCGTATGGATCGGCGGTTCCATCTTGGCCTCCCTGTCTACCTTCCAACAGATGTGGATCTCCAAACAAGAGTATGACGAGTCCGGCCCTGGCATCGTCCACCGCAAATGCTTCTAAGCGCGTCGTTACACAATCATCGACGCAACGGTGCAATCTTTGTCGAAAGAATATCGTCCTAATTCGGGGAGAGTGCATGCCGTTCTGCCTCAAGCAATCAAGCTGCTACGAGATACATCATTATCGACTCTCAATCATAAAGGGATCTCATCGAATCGTCATTGTCGTGGCCTCGCTCATCGTTGCGTAAATAACAACGGCCTGGCTGATCATCTCCGTCGTCGCAGTTTTTAATAAACCTGCGCACGACGACATCATCACTCACTTGGCATCATCATCACGGCCGAGGTAGCGGTCGGTGGTATTGACTCTCGTCTTCAGGACTTCGCTCGTTGTAGCCTGGACGTAGCCGGGTATGAGAAAGTCTTCTTGAAGGGATACACGAAGGAGATCAGGTGCATCTTTCTCTCGCGAAAGGAACACTCTGGACAGTAAGGACACGCAAGAGTCTTGACGGATTGTACTTGGCAACGAATTCGAGACTACTTCGGGAAGGTCGCGCTTTATTCACTGTCGCGCGAGTGTTCTACATCACCGTCCGAGAAATTAATTGTCTCTCAATACGTATTGCATATAATTATGTCTAGTCTGCTAACTAAAGCAATTAAGTTCTACCAATGTGTACTTCTATACTTTAACTTATTTTGTAAATATTACACTATATTATTATAAATATTGTTATACGATGTCAAAGTCAAGTCAAATATACATTATGTCACTCCACACTATTGTTATGTAATCTTTTACATTACCTCACGTACCTCGCATATTTGATTTATGTGGCATAGGTATTTTTGGCGCAGCGTTCTCAGACTCCTCAGGCAACCTCGGGCTTCCATTCATTTTCTCATGTTCCACATATCCGCCGTATAACCACACGAATTTAAATAAACTCACACCTGAAAACGTTACTTTTATTTCATCACTTGCAAAGTTAAGGCAAGAATTAATATTAAATTAAAGCAAGAAAAAATATTGATTGTTTTAGACATCCTAAGAATATATGATAAAGATGCAAAACTCTCGCAATTTTTACTTTCTTTATCCTTCCAATTACGATTAAAGGAAGAGAAGAAAATTTGCTTATAAACTATGCAAATCTTGCCTCAAATATTACTTAACAATGTCGTTAAATTTAATTTTATAACTTGGCATTTTTCCGTTTCACGATTATGTCAGTCTTCTCGCGTCGCTCCAAATTTGTCTTTGATCGCGGCAGAGTAGAGATTTGCGAATTTTTAAAATAACTCTTATCGTATAGAATGTAATCGATGAGTAATCTTGGCTCGATCCACACAATTCATCCTATTTTAAGTTAATTTTCTACTGTATTATCTTTTCTTATTCATTGTTAGACTCCTGCCATTACAAGAATGTTCTCCCACATCGACTCGTTCATTTAAATCATCGATTAAATGTCGATTACTTCGAAGAATGCGATAGAAAACGTATGAATTTGTTTCCGATCGTTACAAATTATCAGACTTTTTTGTATCTATCGCCTCTATAAATTTTTTATAGACACGTTTGAAGACTCATACATTTAGACATTAGGAGAGTGCGTACGATAAAAGCTCTCGCAAAGAAGATACAGTTTATTTCGGTCGCATCGCGTAATCTCAAAGTATTTCTGCTACCTCCCTGATATTCGTCAGAGCATAGTTCTTGCTTTTATCGAAACTTTTTCGACTCCCCCGTTTTCCGTTTATTGATGTATAAACAATGTATTTATTCTGCTGATTATTTTCCGGAAAAGTTTCATATAATTCGTTATAATTTGTTATAATTTTTTCATATAATTCGTATCGAATTATATATATGAAACTTCAAGTCTAATTTATAAAATTTAGAAATAATTTATAAATGGAAAGTAAGATAAAATAGTCTAATTTACAAATAAAAGATAAAAGAGATAAAAAAGTCTAATTTATAAATGAAATAATTTATAAAAAAAAGTCTAATTTATAAATGAAATAATTTATAAATGAAAAGTAAAATAAAATAGTGTAAATCTGGAAGAGACTCTATGTATTGCATTCTTATACTTTTTTCATATTTAAAAAATATAAAAAGAATATAAAAAATATAAATATAAAGCTCACATATATTGCATGATCGAAGAAAATTCTGCTTTGCTTTCGTAAAAATTGGTTTATCCAAAATAGGTATACAAGGCTTTATTTTTACAAATAGATATTATTATATTATTATATTATATGTATATTCAAGATATATATTATTCAGATACTTAAATGCAATATTAGACACGATAAAAATAATGAGTTAACTTTTATGTAATAATTTGACGTATTAATTTGGAAAGTCGATCCGGAAGTAAAATTTTGTTCATTATATTCTTGCGATACATACGTGTATATATTTCTTAATGTAATATATTAGTTTTTTATAACATATATCTTTGCGCTAAAAAATTATGTTGTCATCACATGAATAAGATTTTTCGTGAAAATAAATAAAAGTGTCTCGATGCAATAATTAGCTGGGAATCAATTTTATCGATTTAATTGATATTTATCGAAGTGATATCCCCTTCTTCCTTCCAGAGAGAAGAAAAACCTATTCTTGAGATACATACGTGTATATATTTCTTAATGTAATATATTAATTTTTTACAGGGTAAATTTATATTTTTTTAAACAAAATTAAGTTAAAGTTAATGGGTTAAAAAATTAATTTAGTTATGTTAAAAGTTATACAAATAAAAAATTAACTCAATAAAAGTTACGTTAAGATTAAATTAACGTTAGTTAAGATAAAAGTTAAAATTTTGAAAAGCATTATTTCACTTTATATTAAATTAGATTGTAATTTTAAAATTTGATTACTCTAAATAATAATAATATGAATCATGAAATAAATTTGGGGGGAAAGTTAATAAGTTTAAGTTTATGTGTTTTAAAAATAACTAGTTAAGTTAAAAGTTAACTCTTTTTAAAATAACTAAGTTGAGTTAAAAATTATTAACTTTCTAACTTTTTTTTTAACTTTTAACTAATCAACTAGTTATTACCCAACCCTGGTTTTTCATAAGATATATCTTTGCGCTAAAAAATTATGTTGTCATCACATGAATGAGATTTTTCGTGAAAATAAATAAAAGTGTCTCGATGCAATAATTAGCTGGGAATCAATTTCATCGATTCAATTGATATTTATCGAAGTGACGCCCCCTTCTCCCTTCCAGAGAGAAGAAAAACAATTAACCGACTCGATTTAATTTTATATTATATTATATGTATATTTAAGATATATATTATTCAGATACTTAAATGCAATATTAGACACGATAAAAATAATGAGATAACTTTTATGTAATAATTTAACGTATTAATTTGGAAAGTCGATCCGGAAGTAAAATTTTGTTCATTATATTCTTGCGATACATACGTATATATATTTCTTAATGTAATGTAATATATTGGTTTTTTATAACATATATCTTTGCGCTAAAAAATTATGTTATCATCATATGAATGAGATTTTTCGTGAAAATAAATAAAAGTGTCTCGATGCAATAATTAGCTGGGAATCAATTTTATCGATTCAATTGATATTTATCGAAGTGTCGCCCCCTTCTCCCTTCCAGAGAGAAGGAAAACAATTAACCGACTCGATTTAATTTTTAATCGAAACGACCATTGTGCATTCCAAAGCACAAGAAGCGCAGAAACGCGCCACGGAGTATTTCCAAAGCGGCGAAGCGTACACGTCGATCCGCTTAGGGGCTGCGGCCGCCTAAGTTCGGCGAGCGTCGCGACGCCGAACGAGGCGATGCCTTTTTCGTGCCTGTCGAGCAAGCACCATCCCACGAAAATGCGGGGGCGTCCAGACGAGAGCATATAATCGACGTCGCGACGCCGCCGAGGCACAGACGCCGCTCCACCTCTGTCCCGTGCACGGTACGTACACACGTAGTAAACTTTCGCACGAATTTCCGCTATATCACCATCGGGAAATCACTTCCGCCTTTTCCGAAGGGTCGCTTCCTGTCCGCTCTATCGAAGGCATTGATCTCATTGATTCGCGTGCTCTAGTGATTAGTAAACAAAAGTGATAAGCTGCCGTACCATAAAGGATTATTCGTGATAACCAGCCATTCTCAAAGTAACAGCTTTATTATTATTCTTTTATTTATGTTTAGTCGAGATTTTAAAATTAAATTTACCGAACGAGCATTTAATACTGTTAAAAATCATTCGTTTAAAGATATTTAAAAATCATACAGTTGGAAATATTTAAATTCAATAATATTCAAAGCTAAGAATTTTTATTTGGTCACGTTTTCAATTATTTTCAGAATCCAAATTATTTCTCGTTAAAATTATTTAAATTAAATTTAAATAAATTATTCATATTTTTTATATATTTCTTATTTATTTTTCCTTATTTACTTTTAATTGCGATAAATAGAACTGAATCTGAATCAAATCTGTGTTTAATGATTGCTTACAGATTTCGAGATACAGATCTTATCTGGTTATATTTAATATCGTTATTTACCTAAGAAAGAATCTTCAGTTTGTTGTCGACTCCTTAAATGAAGTTCAAGTTCGCAGCATATCACTGTACTCATTGAGATCGAATTTTGGCGCATTGTCAAACCCGTATAATTGTTGTGTTGTATGGCACATCCATCATCATTCTGATAAGCAGTGAGCGAGACCTGTTCCGATCAAATTGATTTTAATCTTTAAATGCACAATATTTAATCAATTTTAACAGCAAAATATTACTCGTTAAATAATATTTGAAAATATTAGAAATAACGAAGTTAAAAATATTCATTGACTAATTTTCTATAACGAAATTATAATATTAACATTTCCTTTCAAGCAAATTTAAACAGTTGAATTAGCAGTTAAGAGAGAGAAAATATTTTTCAAGATAAATTGTGTTTAATTAATAGTAATAGATTTGCGGATTAAATTATTTTTTGCAAAATTTTATAAATAAGAAAAAATTTAGATATAAATAAAATTAATTTCGATACAGTGTATGTATAATTCTCCGGTTGTTTTCTTAGAATAAACCCAAGTAATGATAATATGATAAGTAAATACAGTTTTCGAGCACTAGTGCATATGTGCTAGAAAATATAATCTTTTTAATCTTTCTTTAAATCTTGCTCAGATTTTATTATTAGTTGCATTGGTGGCTGCGAAAATTCTAAGTAAAGATCAAAACTAGTTCCATTACGAAGATCAAAACTAGTTCCATTACGAAGATGAAATATTAAAAGAAGTATTTTGTGAATATTTACTAGCACGTGCATCAGAAGATATTTGCTTATTAAAATTAAATTTATCTAAAAGTATGATTAAAAAAGAAATATTATTTTATAAATGCTTTCAAATGTAGAGGCTCGTACAAATCAAAATCTTATATTATATTATGATAAAAATTATATAACACTTGTATGCACGCATTATTTAAAAAGATCGAGAAAATATGCGATTTAAATTAAGAAAATATCAAAATTATTTTACAACAACTGAAACATCCATTAAAATATTTTAATATCTCACAAAATTGAATTACTTCTTACTAATTAACTTTCTTCACTTACTTGTGTTAAAAAATGTTTAACGAGCCATAAAACTACAGTGTCATATTTAATATCCTTCGTAATATCGTGTTTCCATGCCCATCAAAGGACACATCATCTATGAATCGCACCCTCGTGTCTTCTTCTCTTAAAATTACTCGTTTCTCTAAGGAACAGTTTCCTCGATGTCGGTGAACTTTAAACATAGTTCACTCATGTCTTTCTAGAATTACAATTATCGGGATACGAGGGACGAGTTGGAAGCAGCGTTAATGTTAAGCAACATTGCTGCTGTCTTCGTCGTCGTGTTCAATCATATAGTCGAGGTCTTCGGCCGTGCAAACACGTTGGTTCCTTTTCCGCGCGGGCAAGCATAATTTTGGCACGCTCGGCGGGGCGTTATGTTTTATCCGTCGTCGTCGTCGGCGGTGGCGGCGTCGACCACCATAATCGTCGCTTGAACTTATTAGGGAGCGTCCGTCGGCCGTACGTCTAAAGTTAGCGATGCGTCGAGCAAAAATAGCCCCGCGACGCTGGGACCGCCTTGCCTATCGCTTTATAGGCAACTGGGTCAATTCTGGCTTCACGAAATCGTGGAACGACTTTATCGAAGACCTCTCACAGTTTGCCACTATCGTCAGATAGCAAATCTTTTTTTTTTTAAGTCAGTTATCCAGTTATCCCTCTTGCAAATTGAATTGATGTCCGTTTCGATGCAGCTTTTGTTGGAATTTTTATTCGTAAAGCATTATGCAACGTTTATCCAATTCCTGGGGGAATCCCTGAAATTTATAATTATATATTATTAGTTGTGAAATAATTTTTTTTATAATTTTATGATCGTTTTTGTTTTTTAAAAATTATCCTTAAAGTAAAATTTAAAAATAAATTTGCGGGTAGAGAGAAAGAAAGAATTGAATAAATGTTATTCATCAAAGAATTATTTCATTCGGTTCATATTTTTTGATTATTTTTTAATTACGTAAGTAATTTTGTCTTTGGTCCAATATTAAAGAATAAAAATACCAGTATTTATTTTTCTTTAGATTATATCATTTTCAATTTTGATTTCATTTTGATTGGTATTATTGCTTATGTAATAGATTATTAATACTTTTTACATAATATCTCATATTTATATAATTCTAATTAAAATTCTTTTTTACGTATAAAAGTGCTAGTGACGTATAACGTGAATCTTTTCTGAAAAAAAGAAGCGAGAATAACCTATGGTGTTAATATATCAATAATAAAAGATAAAAATGAGATTACAGATAGGTATCATAAGCGATTATCACATAAAACATCGATAATTGCAGACTGAGACTTCAACATGATTTTTGTTGCAGAAAGTTGAAATCGAAAAAAAGCCACAATGTGTGACGACGAAGTAGCTGCCCTGGTCGTAGACAATGGCTCCGGCATGTGCAAGGCCGGTTTCGCCGGAGATGACGCTCCTCGCGCCGTCTTCCCCTCGATTGTCGGCCGACCCCGTCATCAGGGTGTTATGGTCGGTATGGGTCAAAAGGACAGTTACGTAGGCGACGAGGCTCAGAGCAAAAGAGGTATCCTGACTTTGAAATACCCGATCGAGCACGGTATCATCACTAATTGGGATGACATGGAGAAGATCTGGCATCACACCTTCTACAACGAATTGCGTGTCGCTCCCGAGGAACACCCGGTCCTCCTTACCGAAGCACCTCTGAACCCGAAAGCTAACCGTGAAAAGATGACGCAGATTATGTTCGAAACCTTCAACAGCCCGGCTATGTACGTCGCTATTCAGGCCGTCCTTTCCCTGTACGCCTCCGGTCGTACCACCGGTATCGTTTTGGACTCCGGTGACGGTGTCTCTCACACCGTACCCATCTATGAAGGTTACGCTCTTCCTCATGCCATCCTCCGTCTGGACTTGGCCGGACGCGATCTTACCGACTACCTCATGAAGATCCTCACCGAGAGAGGCTACAGCTTCACCACCACGGCTGAGCGAGAAATCGTCCGCGACATCAAGGAAAAGCTTTGCTACGTCGCCCTAGACTTTGAACAGGAAATGGCCACCGCTGCCGCCAGTACTTCTCTCGAGAAGAGCTACGAGTTGCCTGATGGTCAGGTCATCACCATCGGTAACGAGAGGTTCCGTACCCCCGAGGCCCTCTTCCAGCCTTCCTTCTTGGGTATGGAATCTTGCGGTATCCACGAGACCGTCTACAACTCCATCATGAAGTGCGACGTCGATATCCGTAAGGATCTCTATGCCAACAACGTCCTGTCTGGTGGTACCACCATGTATCCCGGTATTGCTGATCGTATGCAAAAGGAAATCACCGCTCTCGCACCTTCGACCATCAAGATCAAAATCATCGCTCCACCCGAAAGGAAATACTCCGTATGGATCGGTGGTTCTATTTTGGCCTCCCTGTCTACTTTCCAACAGATGTGGATTTCCAAACAAGAGTACGATGAGTCTGGCCCTGGCATCGTTCACCGCAAGTGCTTCTAAACAATTATGCTCGATGCTATTCACTATTATTATTGTTATTATTGCTACACCTTTCCCTAAGATGTATCGTTCACTGCCGCATCGCTTTGTCTAGTTGGATCTCTGTTAGTCGAATACTACTATCATTACTATTGATCCGTGGCAGCGAGTCTTTATCAACGACGAGTCATACGAGCATATACGTCATCTTTTGTATATAAGTTTACGTCTATGGAATAAATCAATCTTATATTCTTACAGCCGTTTAATTCGTAATTTTTCATTCTTTGACCCTTATATTTGAACATGAAAATTAATTACCGATATCCCATTGAATATTTTGCATTATTTGCTATTTTTCGCGGAATATATTTTATTTCTTATTAATTAAAATATTAAAAGAAATAATATGTTATGCATCGGTCTAATATATTAATTAATTAAATTATTTAATCCGTTGAATGACAAATATTAATATAGTAATTCTATGACTTCTATGACTCTTTCAGACATATGATGTTTAAGTATGAATTTTTTTATAAAATGAATTGATATATAAACTATAATACACGTGAATCACATAAATAAGATATTTATTTATTTAAGATTTTTATTTAGAATTCTCTGAATAATTTTGGAGAAAGATGTTAAAAATTATAAAAAATTACAGATTTTAATTAGAGTTTATAAAATTACTGCATAATGAGATAAAATTATACAAACTATATGAAAACTTAAAAAATATTAGACCTGTGCGTAACTAATTCGGTATTAATTAAATAACAATCCATGCGAAAAACACATTTTAAATTGCATTTATGAAGATTATTACAAACATCGTTACCTCTCACTGATGCAGTAGCAATATAGACATGCGATTCAGGCCTATGCTTATCCAAACTCATCCCGCAAAATTTCTAATTCTGCAACAAGACGTATATGCGTGTAAATAGATATGCATTACTAAAATTAATAAGTAAAGCAATTACAATGATATTACACGAAATTCGTAAGTCGATATTACATAAAACGTGGACAAGAATGTCTCGAATGCCTGGCAATTTTCCAAAGTAAATTTTGCGGTATCTCGGATATTTTGTCGACAGAAATGATTTAATGGTACACCAAAGTTGTATTGTATGGCTAAAAATGCAACTAGGGAAAGGTGATTGTGTCACTTTAAATAAGTCTCAATAATACCGAATTATATTCGTACAAATTTAAACGATAGCTACAAAACCGGTTATTTCTGTAACCGATGTAGTAGCTGCCAAATTACTTTTTAATCGCATCAATTATAATAAATTATTATAATTATAATTATTATTATAATTATAATTATAATTATAATAATTATAATAATTATTATAATTATAATAATTATAATAATTATAATAATTATAATAATAATTATAATTATTATTATATTTATAATTATAATTATAATTATAATTATAATTATAATTATTATAATTATAATTATATTTATAATTATAATTATAATTATAATTATTTATTATAAATTCCTCTTTTTAGCTCTCAGAAATTAATAACGGATATGAAATCAAAAGTTGACAAATAGAGGTGAAAACGTTCTAAATTTTGCCAATTGATGCGATTACAATTTTTCTAGCTAGTTTGGATTTTATCGCTCCTGCTCTTTCGAGGGGGGGGAAAAAATGAAAAACGAATATGAGTTACCTTTGATACTCCCTTCGGCGAATGTCTGGGTCCTCTGCATTCTCACTGAAGCTACCCTCACGATTATCCGGGACCGAACCATAGCGATGAGCGAGAGGTGCTCGACGACAAAGGATGCGCCCTTTCGGGGTTGAAACTCGGCAATGTGAATCGGTACCAGCATCGGCTTTGCCGGCAGTCCAAAAAGGTGGAGGGGATCTTTGCGATGGCTCGAGTGAGTGGGTCGCCCCGTGCATTTGTTAATTATAGCAAATTGTAAGCTGCAATTAGCGAATAAGACTGTTTTCCTCGATACCCGCGGTTGTTTCCTCTCTTATGAGTCGATATGATTAGATGTCATCCGATCCGGATGTCTCGTAAACGCGAGCATAAACGACCCGATGATCGAAATCATCCAGTGTCCTTTATCAATTAAAAAATAATGATTTAAAAAAAGGAGAGTATTTATTTTTCAGATGAGCCATTGGATGTCCTTATTTCAAAAGAGAAGGCCTTGTAATCATCACGCTCGAAGAACGTTGCTTCAAGATGCTCTTATCGTGGCGACAATGAACCCTTCTTATTTTAGTCTCTGATATTTCGGAGACTCGATCCTTTCGCGCTTTCAAAAATCAGTCCTTCGAAATTTGTCTTTTCGAAATTATATATTTCTGAGCGTTCATTTGCCTTCGCGAATCCCTTCCTCGGAATCCACGTCCTTCGTATCTCGTTCAGGTCCTTATTGGATCCCACATTTACTTCAAACTCTCATATTCCTTTCGAGATCCCTTCCATTGATCCTCCTCTCTCCTTTCGAGTTTCACCCCTTCGTCGAGGCCCCCAGCGGCAGCCGACAGCCCTGGCTCGTGACGAGTCCTTATTTGGACCCAGGGGCCACCACCGAGTTGTCATCGTATTTGCCGCGCGTCGACGTCTCGACGTCTTCCTCCCTCTCTCTCCCTCCACCGGAGCTCCTCTGTTTAGGGCGGACTAAGGACTAGGCCGACTCTAACGGGCAACGCGGGCTCCCGGCCCAACGTTAACGCTGACGGCAGATTTCCATGTAAGGGGCGGACCGCTATTTTCGGCCGCCGACCGATATGGATAAAGGGACCCCACGGAGCCGGCACTGCGCCACTCGCCGCTCTCGCCGGTCTCTTGCACGACGTACAAAACGCGATCCTGAGCGATCGTCCGCCGATCTCTCTCGTTCTCGGCTCTGCATCAGCAAACGGTAATAATCCCCGTGCTTAGTCGCACCCGCGAATCACGGCAACCCCTTCGATTTGGGCGCACCATCTTTCAGAATCTCCTCCGATCTTCTTCGTGAAGATTCTCGATCACGGCAAGTGATTCAAAGGAACGTGTTGTATTAAATATTTTCCGGAAATTCCCCAGGGGAGAAATTGGGTGCGAAGCGAATCCGAAGAGGTTTGCGTGATTGAACAAGCCGCGAAGTGATACCTGGTGAATACGTGCACAAGTGAATTGATTACGATAATTTTGAAATTTATTTAGCAGTCGATTATGCCCCATGTCTCGATTCTTTAATTAATTCTGTGAATATCTTCTACAAATTCTCTCCTAAAAATTGTGAAAAATTAACTTCTTCGCATTAATTCGAATGCAATTTAATTAAGATTAGTCGAATTAATTTAATGAATTATTTGATTACCCAGGATTTTTTAAATTAATGATATAATAACTTACTTTATGAATTATCTTTTCAATATGTGTTCTCAGAAAGGAAACAACTAATCAAGATGTGCACAAGTGAACATTGATTACGATAATTTTGAAATTTATTTAGCAGTCGATTATGTCCCATGTCTCGATTCTTTAATTAAAATTAATTCTGTGAATATCTTCTACATCTCCTAAAAATTGTGAAAAATTAGCTTCTTTGCATTAATTCGAAATGCAATTTAATTAAGATTAGTCGAATTAATTTAATGAATTATTTGATTACCCAAGATTTTTTAAATTAATGATATAATAACTTACCTTATGAAATGTCTTTTCAATATGTGTTCTCAGAAAGGAAACTAACAGCTAATCAAGATGTGTGACGATGATGTTGCGGCATTAGTTGTGGACAATGGATCTGGTATGTGCAAGGCCGGATTCGCAGGGGATGATGCACCGCGTGCCGTGTTCCCTAGCATCGTCGGCCGCCCCCGTCATCAGGTTGGTCAGAGAAATATTTAGAAGCCTATCTGATCTCATAAATTTACCAACATTATTATTATTACAAACATTATTATTAAATTAAGTAGTTGTTAAAGTCTCATTTTAATTAACGCAATACATGTATAAATTAAATTTTGAAAGAAATCATTCCAAGAACGATTAAAGATATTAAGCTTTGCTTCAAGCTTTTTACATTCATGTATATTTTCCATCAAAACTTAAATTAAAACTTAAAAAATTAAAACTAATTTAATCGTTTCCGGGACGATTAAACCAAATTTGCTTCAGCCGAAAATGCTATTAGATTCATGAAATTCAGAAAAAGATGGACATATATTGTTAATGTATCTTCTGAAACGCGCTTATGTAACATGAAATATCTCGTTTTTCAGGGCGTGATGGTCGGTATGGGTCAAAAAGACAGCTACGTTGGCGACGAGGCTCAAAGCAAGAGAGGTATATTGACGTTAAAGTATCCTATAGAACATGGTATCATCACCAATTGGGATGACATGGAAAAGATCTGGCATCACACCTTCTACAACGAATTGCGTGTCGCTCCCGAGGAACACCCGGTCCTCCTTACCGAAGCACCTCTGAACCCGAAAGCTAACCGTGAAAAGATGACACAGATTATGTTTGAAACCTTCAACAGCCCGGCTATGTACGTTGCTATTCAGGCCGTCCTTTCCCTATACGCCTCCGGTCGTACCACCGGTATCGTTTTGGACTCCGGTGACGGTGTCTCTCACACCGTACCCATCTACGAAGGTTACGCTCTTCCTCATGCCATCCTTCGTCTGGACTTGGCCGGACGCGATCTTACCGATTACCTCATGAAGATCCTCACCGAGAGAGGCTACAGCTTCACCACCACGGCTGAGCGAGAAATCGTCCGCGACATCAAAGAAAAGCTCTGCTACGTCGCCTTGGACTTTGAACAGGAAATGGCGACCGCTGCCGCCAGCACTTCTCTCGAGAAGAGCTACGAGTTGCCTGATGGTCAGGTCATCACCATCGGTAACGAGAGGTTCCGTTGCCCCGAAGCTCTGTTCCAGCCTTCCTTCCTGGGTATGGAATCTTGCGGTATCCACGAGACCGTCTACAACTCCATCATGAAGTGCGATGTCGACATTCGTAAGGATTTGTACGCTAATACCGTTCTCTCCGGTGGCACCACCATGTATCCCGGTATCGCTGATCGTATGCAAAAGGAAATCACTGCCCTCGCGCCCTCAACCATCAAGATCAAGATCATCGCTCCACCTGAGAGGAAATACTCCGTATGGATCGGCGGTTCTATCCTGGCCTCTCTGTCCACCTTCCAGCAAATGTGGATCTCCAAGCAAGAATACGACGAGTCTGGCCCTGGCATCGTCCACCGCAAATGCTTCTAAAAGAATACATCGAGGGTCAATCAAACGTCCATTCAAGCACCATCGCCGTGACTCTTTTCCTTCCCTTATCTATCTCCTTTTCGATACACTAGACCTGCCCTTACAAATTATACAATATCCATCATCCGAGAAAAGGGAAGGAAAGGAGAGACAAAAAGAAAGAGGAAAAAAGGAGAAAGATGAGAAAGGAAGATGGGGTATCAGACGAGATCGCAGAAAAAAACTTATTACTTTCTCTCAACTGCCTTTATGCTACACATTTACCATACTTAATAGTTTATACAACACGATTATTTGATTATGAATATTAATTAATTAATTAATTTACCATCTTTTCGACAACCCGAGCAATGAGTCCTCCTCCGCCCACACGTGTAAACGTACGCATACATATCTACCACACAGACAGACGATCGCGTAAGTTTGACATTTGCGACACTCGTAACATGATTATCGACAGCAACAACGAGGGATACGAAGCACATCCGGCCACGTCGATGTCGGCCACGTCTAGCATGGCTGTCCGGCAAATCGCGTTCTTATTGTACCTTACGATTAATTAACAATGATAATAAAATCGTATGTTATGTAATAACTCCACGTTAGAGTATGATTTTTCACCAATGTTGTTCTCGCGATGACAGCTCCATTGGATCTGCAAAAGAGAAACTCATCATCCTCGCACAATTGTTAGAATATATTGAGCTTTTGAATATAAGCGGATGACATAATGCCACGTGTCATCTCGAATTTTTCGAAATGGAAAATATAAATATAAATTTTCTAAAATATTCTAAATATCAAACATATGCAGACATTGATGACATTTTTTATTCGAGATGCTGAAGAAGAGACCAGAATTAATGTAGACCGGAGCAAGCCGATCTGTGCTCTTGCGAATTTTTCTACAGTTTCAAAATCGGAAAATATATATAATTAAAATATATAATATATAATTAAATATAAATATATAATTAATATAAATAAATAAAAAAAATATACAAATATATAATAATATAAATATAATATAAATATATAATATAATATAAATATATAAATAAAAAATATATAAATAAAAAATATATAAATAAAAAAAAACAATATATAAAATTTATGATTTAAATTTACAATTTAAAATTTAAAAATCCGCTTGCCATCGCCTACTCTTCTTTTCCTTTTCTCTTAAAGGAAATGTAACATTATCTTAGCCGCAAAAAGCGAGAGAGAGAGAGGAAAAGCGTCGAAACGAATAGGTAAGAATGTGAAATGCTCCTTCTCGGTGGAAAAAACGCCGTAAGAACTCCTCTTCTTCGCACCTATATCGTTTTCAGGTCGCTTTAGACCATACATGAGCAACGGGCTACGCGTATTTTGGGCGATAGCCTCGTTATATTTGGCGCGCCATATTGTCGGCCACGTGCCGGGGATGCGCGTAACTCAATAGGATCAGCGAAATACAATAATATACGCGCGATACCCACGCGGTTGAAGAAATAGCGAAAATAGAGCCCCTCCTAGAATCCCGGTTGCGGTTCTTACTTTAAAATCCCTCCCTTCTCGAGCACTAAAATTAGGGTGAGCGCGCGCGTAAAGATGGAAGCGAGGGGAAAAGAAATATACAGGGTGTCCCAAAAGTCCCGGACCGATCGAATATTTCATAAATTATGCACTTTAGAAAGAAATGTTTCAAACAAAAGTTGTATGGCTTGAAGGGGGCCATCAGATAGTGGCAATGATTATACATGGGTGAGTCATTTGAAAGTCACGTGAAAATCACCATCAATTTCTTAAACGGAACTCTCTATTTTTTATTACATATTCGTGTAGCTTATCTCGAGAGCTTTCCAAAACACTATAATAAAGTATTTCTTCATTGAGTACTTTTTTGAGTTATGAGGCTTGAAATAATTTCTTAATTTTGCATAAACCATAAAATATCTAGTAAAATATTGAAAGTTTCTTATTTTTTCACGTACAATTCGAATCTGTAATAAAAAGTACCATATTCCCCTAAAAAAATTCAACTTCCGATCCGGATGACGTATTTCCGGTCAGAATTAAAAGTTGAAAATATCACCATTTGATAGAGCGTACTCGATTTACTTAAAAATTGTTCGCGATTTTTCATAAAAGCCATTTATTTTCATTTTAAAAGGGGTGTACGGGTTTGTGACATCCTGTATATACAAAAGTACAATATATGTTTACTTTATCATAAAAGAAAGGTGCCAAAAGTTTATGCAGTATATATATATAATAGATTATTTTAATATAATTATAATATATCCTACAAAAATAATAATATAAAAAAAAATTGCGCCAACTAAGAATGAAAACTTGTACAAGTTTAAATACAAAATATTTCAATATTGAAAACTCTGTTATACAAAATAGTTGCTTTTAATAATTTCCAAAAATAATAATATTAAAAAATTAAAAATTTGTTTAAGGATGTTTTGTACAATCCCAGCAAAAAGTAGCTGAAAATCAATATTGACGAATATATCCACTTTTAGTATATTTTGAGTAAGAAATTGTGTGGAATATTACAATTTGAGCTTAGTTACAGTGCAGAGATGTATTTTTTAATATTTATTGCGTTTTTACTTAAATATTCCGAAATTTTGTTTATCGAAATGATTAACTTTTGGCAGAGAATTTCGCCTTGTGACAGATACATGGCTAACTTTATTAAATTATATTTAATATCTTTTTAATCAGTTAGTATTTGTATAATATTATTTGACCAAATATTTCCTCCGTATCTAAACTTTTGCAAATTTTAAACAAATTCTGAATATTATTTCCATGTGTTTTTGTCATTTGAATCGACGTAGTTATACGCTTCCCATAAGAACACATGTTAATTCGGTGCAAATTAAAATTTATAACTTGTGAACACTTTAGTAAATCGATTTAAAAATTGTACTGAAGATTCTAAACATATGTAAGAGCATTTTGTACAATTTTCATTAAATTCTCAATATTTTGAAAATAGATACAAAACATCCTTAAAAATTGAACACTGAAAATTAATATAAAACTGAAATCATATAAAACTGAATTAAATAATTATATAATTAATTAATTAAATAATTAATTAATAATATAAAACTGATTTAATATAAAACTGAAAATTAATATGAAAGAAAAATAAAAAAAATTCTCAATATTTTGAAAATAGATACAAAACATCCTTAAAAATTGAAGACTGAAAATTAATATAAAACTGAAATTATATAAAACTGAATTAAATAATTATATAATTAATTAATTAAATAATTAATTAATAATATAAAATTGAATTAATATAAAACTGAAAATTAACATGAAAGAAAAATAAGAAAAATTCTCAATAATATTTTGAAAATAGATACAAAACATCCTTAAAAATTGAAGACTGAAAATTAATATAAAATTGAAATTACATAAAACTGAATTAAATAATTATATAATTATTTAATTGAATAATTAATTAATATAAAACTGAATTAATATAAAACTGAAAATTAATATGAAAGAAAAATAAAAAAATTCTCAATATTTTGAAAATAGATACAAAACATCCTTAAAAATTGAAGACTGAAAATTAATATAAAACTGAAATTATATAAAACTGTATTAAATAATTATATAATTAATTAATTAAATAATTAATTAATAATATAAAATTGAATTAATATAAAAATTAATATGAAAGAAAAATAAAAAAAATTTAATTAAAATAGCGTGGCGCCGCCAACAAGTTTCCGATACCGAGATCAACTTCTCGATGAGCGCAGGTGATACAGGTAGCAGAGTTTCTATTGGAACGCCTAGATAAATGAGCGCGGTAGGTTGAGTAAAACGCGAGACTCGATTCGACCTCGGGAATGAATCACGGCTGGTTATCTTGCAAGGATGCTTGATCTATGATCGCGTCGTGTAACGGGAATGTTGACAGACGATCGCTACGCGAACGAATCAACGTAAAAAAAAGGGAGAGAGTGCAATAAGGATATGTCATAACACACTCATAAAGCATGCACGAGCCTCCTCGCGATCCTTCAACTCGTTGACGAGATTAACCTCTTCGCGAGCAAGCGCCAGGAATGGCAAACAGCTCCACGAAAGAGAGAATGGACGCCTGGTAGGTTTCCAGAATTGTCAATAAATGTGTGTCCGAATTTTCTAGTGTCCCATGTACGTTACATAACTAAATTTCTTCGTTCTGTATATTTAATCCTATTTGTACATATATATATATGTTAGTCCATCTACTGCTCCAAAATACACATGTTTGATGTTGACTCACCAAATTGTTTTTCATTTATACACACATACACACATTCCTTTTGTTTTAAATAAATATATCGATTTTCCGATCGAGAATATTCTATTTTTTTAATTTTATTTTTATTTTAATTTTATTTTAATTTATTTTTTTTTTAATTTTATTTTTATTTTATTTTTTTTAAATTTAATTTTAATTTTAATTTTTTTTTACCTTGACACGTGATAGATACAGAGCATAACAAGTGGAGGATTAAGAGTGTCTATTTTTTTTGCAACAGGTTCTGGATACTGTAACAAAAAATGTGAGGTTTAATTTATATAGCTGTAATTAGAAGCACCAGCAAATGCAGAATGGAGAATGTTATACCGATGAGTTGGTTGAACCAAATATTATTAGTTTCTAGTATAGCAACTGCAGTATTGTCCTTAGTTGTAGAAGGATGGACAGATCTCACACCTCTGCCGATATATGTTTCCATCTCTTGGGGTGTATTTATTATAATTTTATCAGTATGGCTAAGCTGTTGCTTATTACGTCTCACATTGAAAGCCAATAGTCCAATTACTTTTGAGTTTATGAACAAGTGGATCCGCAAGAGGCTAGTGAATTATCTGAATTTGGATTCTTTAATAGACAAGAATAAGAGTACAGAAATTATTTATGTAAGCGATAGTGAAGACCAAGGGAAGAGTCCTTCACAAAAAGCTAGCGCTAAGTGCAATAATAATGCAATCTTACGAGATTCCTGTAAGAACGACATTCCTTTAACAAAAAGAGAAAAGGAGAAGATAATGGATACAATACGAGAAATTGATGTAAAGTGTATAGAAATTTGGTATAAAAATATCAGTACTGACAAGTCGTTCCCTAACGAAGCGCAAGATTTGTTGGACAAGTTCTTGACGAGGCTTGTTTTGAAAGCTAATTTAATAGATAAAATAAAACTCGTTAATAAGTTGGCGAATATATTATTGTTACACTTAAAGGAATATCGTAGGTATGAATCCATCTATTAATAGTTTTGTTCTTGGCAAGAATTCGTCGCTTATCAGTACATTCCGTAGGGCACTACGTCGAGTCGAAAAGGGCGCTGCATCCAGCGTGGAGGAAGCATATAAATATTTACATCCTGGTTCTCGCAGTGCGTCGATATTAGAACATATGTTGCATCATTTAGTCACTGTTCTAGCGCAAGAGTTTTTGCAATGGGAATTAACCAGTTCATCACCATGCAAACTTTTGTTATCCATTTTAGCAAAGAAGCTCTTAATAACAATAGACACAATAAGCTGCCCAGATTGGTTGATCAAGAATCTATTGCAATTATTGGAAACTCCTACAAATAATGCTGTCGCTACTCCAACTAAGCAAAATGTACACTACGATGATGCAAGTATCATGTTATGAAAATTAAAAGATATATATTAAAATTTAATCATTCCTTCAGGGTACTATAACTGTTGCTCTGAGCGATGGCATCGTATCCGCGACAGCGGCTGTGATCCCGCAACAGTTGCCAAAATCCGCACCTAAATCTAGTCCATCTGCAAATATTACAAGTAAAGATGAAAATGCAGCTATAACGGCAACTCCAGAAAGATCGTCTCTATGTTTAGAGGGTCTCTCCACTACAGAGCACAGGGGCCTCTGGGGAGATAGCATAACAGATCTGGAATTGGATGAGGATAAGATTTCGCCAGTGTATGAAGAACCAACAGATTTCGCCACGACTATTGCTAGGCTTAGAAATCTATTACAACAGAAGTCTACAGCAACCACACCATTGTTAGTAAAAATGCCACTTAGTATCAAATACATCAGGTACATATGCATCTGCAAATTTCAGGCATGCCGAAGAAAAATCTTATGTGATATATGAAGGATGCCCATTTACAAATTTATCAATTCCATGGACTGAATTTCATACCGCAACGGATGGTTCGCAACAATTATTCTATTGCATACAATTCGACGATGTCGAACAACATGGAGTATATTTATTTGAAACCACTACTGCTACTGTCAGGAGACTATATTCTGATTTTGTTCAATTGCACCTCAGTCTAGAAGAAGTAAGATATATATTTATAAGAAATATAAAAATATAAAAATATTAAATATATAAAAATATTAAATATTAAATATTAAAAATATTAAATATATAAAAATATTAAATATTAAAAACATTAAATATATAAAAATATTAAATATTAAAAATATTAAATATATAAAAATATTAAATATTAAAAATATTAAATATTAAATATATAACTTTACAGAAAAATAATAACTTAAATATATAATTAAATTTAATCATGTTTGTAAATTCCAGATTCCATCATTAGCTAATATTATGTCCGACCTAGTATTACCCGAGGGTGGGCGGATCGAACTGGAAGTATATTTGAAGACACTGTGTACGCGATTAGCGAATGAGTGTCCACCTCAATTGCGTCACTTTCTTCGGCCGAGCAGTAGCGCGGGCAAAAAAGCAGATGCAATAGCGCCTCGTTTGGACCGATTTTTGGCTAAGACCGTAACTGGTGTTTTCAATACATTGAAGACAGTTGTACCGGGCTTCGAAATGGATCATGAAGAAGAAGCTCCTCCTCTACCTACTCTAATGCCCTTGTCTGACATACCCTGGAGATTTGTCGAGGATATAAAATCGGTAATAAAACCTAAAATTGCAGCATAAATATACTAATTATTCAAATATATAACAATATAATACATGAACAACACATATTTGTAGTATACAGGTTGTTTCAGACCACCCGTACCACCCATTTAAAAACTAGAGAAGCGGTTATTTCAAAAAAGTAAAAACATTTTCTTTATAAATCAGGTACGCTCTATCGAATGATGATATTTTCAACTTCTAGTTCAGGCCGGAAATAGGCGATTCAGACCGAAAGTACATTTTTTTAAATGGAACCCCCTATTTTTCATCGCATATTTTTGTAGCTTACTTCGAGAGCTTTCCAAAACACTATAATAAATTATTTTTCCAAGAAGTACTTTTCGAGTTATGAGGATTGAAGTCATTTCTTAATTTTACATAAACCATAAAATATCTTGTAAAATATTCATTTTTCGATTATCTTATCTTAATACTTTTATATATAAAATAATGAGAGGAATCAATTGGTGTAAAGAAAACATACAGTTGTTTTTAAGAAAAAATATGGAATTATTAATTGCAAATTACATATTTTTTCATAGAAATAACTATGTGTTTTCTTTACACCAATTGATTCCTCTCATTATTTTGTACATAAAAGTATTAAGATAAGATAATCGAAAAATGAATATTTTACAAGATATTTTATGGTTTATTTTTATTTTATGTAAAATTAAGAAATGATTTCAAGCCTCATAACTCGAAAAGTACTTCATGGAAAAATAATTTGTTATAGTATTTTGGAAAGCTCTCGAGGTAAGTTACAAGAATATGCAATAAAAAAATAGGAAGTTCCATTTAAAAAAATGCACTTTCGGTCTGAATCGCCTATTTTCGGCCGGAACCAGAAGTTGAAAATATCACCATTCGATAGAGCGCACCCGATTTATAAAGAAAATGTTTTTATTCTTTTGAAATAACCACTTCTCTAGTTTATAAATGGGTGATATAGGTGGTCTAAAACATCCTGTATAATAATAATAATAATAATAATAATAATAATAATAATAATAATAATAATAATAATAATATATTATGCATGTAATAAAATATATTGTAAAAATATTCTTTGAAATGTCTATCCATTGTTGTAGAAAAGTCTAGCTTGTGAATTACAGCAATTGATCGCAGAAAGAACAGAATATTGTATGGTAGACACAGCTTATGAGGCGGTTGACTCGATGGAAACCAGTGGCAGTTCAGAGTTATTGGATTGTTGGTGGGAAACTATTAACGCTTCGTACGATGGTAGCTATAGTAATAATAGTCTTTTTTCTTGCACTTAAAAAATTATCATTTATAATAATAAAAAGTGAATTACATTTTCCAGATGAAATTGATGAGTTGGATTCTAATCTGACATTGACATGTACAACCATAGATCTGATTTGTGAGCTTCTGACAGGGATTGCTAGTAATAATACATTACAGCAAGAAGCAGTTGTTAGATGGACTAAATTGCTATTAGGAAACATTTCAGAGCCAATCTTGCAGGTGAGAAACTGAATCTAAAAAAAAAAGCATTGTATTTTTTACGAATTTCTTATAACTTTAATTTTATTTGCAGAAAATGATTCTTAGGTTGTTTGACTCTTTGAGTAATTCCTCATTACTTTCCGATGTATCACATAACAATGTCACAAATGAAACCAATGCACAACTGAAAGACAAGTTGGTGCACACATTAAAAGAAAAAATCTCATACAGTGTAAAATTCATATTTGGTGAGGACAATGTACACAAAGCTCTGAATTATTTATTAAGTTCATATGAAATCAAGAAGATTAACATGGATTTAAACATGCAGATGTTAGATGCGTTAATATCAGAACTATTGGTTTCCTGTAAAACGAATCAAGATACCACTAATTAATTTTAATTTAATTTAAAATCAATATTTATTCAATCCTTTAGACAAAAAATCATTTAGTATTTTGCAAGATTTGCACATTATTTTATTCTCTTAATGATACATGAAAGTCATTAAGATATATCAAAATATTTATGTAAAAAGAATTGATGTGTGCCATATATATGTAGAATATGTGTTGACTGTTTACATTTCGCAAAAACTGACAGACTTTTTAAAATAAAGACTGTACCTGATTATACATTTACAATAAGACATGCCAAGTATTTGTTCCATTAGAGAATAATGGCTCGTACCAATTGAATAAGGTGAAACGAGTCACTTGGAAGGCACTATATGCATTTCTGGATTTATACTAAGCATTTATATTTAATAATTAAGTTTTATACACACACACAAAGAAATTGCATTTTCTGCATTTTACAGAAAATGTATCTGCAAAACATATGGTGCATATATTGTACAAAGTATACAAATTATAACTTTATTTTACATTCCAAAGATCGTACGAAGTAAATATGAAATTAAATTTAGACGTATACACAGACTTAATATTTAATTAATATATGTTTATTATGTAAGATAATAAGATTAAACGTATTAATATCTAATTAACTTTCCTTGGTTGTTTCACTTGCTTTCTGTTTCTCTAGTTGTGCTCTGAAAACAATTGTAGCGCTCTATAAATTTTACATAATAATAACAATTAAATAATTATAATATATATATATATATATATATATATATATATATATAATATATTTAAATAATATATAAAATAATAATATAATATAATATATATTATAATATATTTAAATAATAATATAATAATTCTTAACTAGAGCAGAGTAAATGTTAGGTTGGATCGCTCGTCTTAAATTTTGACAAAAATTTTTGCCAAAGTAATAGTACCTCAACTGTTGATTGAAATCGTCTTCAACGTCATCGTCGTCCCAGTTATCCTCCCAAACGCTGATGTCCGCGCTGTCTTCATCCTTCGCGGTCCAATCTAGTTAATGAATCAGCGATTTCGAGGTTAATATCACGCAACAAAATATCAACAAATCTAGATGTGTACCTTCCGCAGGGAATTCCTCGAATTCGTCGTCTTCCTCGAGCAACCCAAGGTCGACTTTCGCCTTATCGTTCTTATTATCCGTCATATTTGCAAATTTTCTTGTGAATGACGATCTTTCAAACACTTTGAAAAACTGTCAAATTTATGTCCGCACGTTCGCGTTTTATAAGGTTAGAAAATAAATTTGGCTACGTGATTCAAATCTTCAAAATGGATATAGATGGCGATATTAAACGAGACTTGATTTTCAAAAATTTCTGTCCAATTTATTCTGAATAAAAAAAAATAATTTAATCTCTGGAAAGCAAGAATATCCAGCAGATGCTGGATACTATTGACTGCTCGAAAAATTCTGAAGAACTTATAATTATAGCGATATTAACATGAATAAAATAATTTTTTTATTTATATATTTTTGATAAATTATTCTTTATTTATACGAATTGCAAAATTAATTTCACCCGAGCAATATCTATAAATTAAGGTTCCATTAAAAGTACAAAGAATGGAAGGAAAAGAATAATTTCTCAAAATAATTAAATAAATAAATAAATAAATAAATAAATAAATAAAATTAATAACTATAATATAAATTAATATTATATAAATATTATATAAATATAATATAAATTTTATTCATTATTTTTATGCAGCTATTTATAGAGAAATTAATTTATTTTCGATTGTAATAATCAAGTCTTTGGTATAATTTATTTTCATACAGTTGCTCACTTTGATAATTTCAAGCATTCATAAATTTTATTACACCTGATGTGCATAGAGAGATCTGTCATGAATAATGTAATGTGAGTTTCTTTATCCCTTTGTTTCCCATTTTCAAATATAATAACGAGAGTCATTCTGGGATCAGTATTGTAGAAAGCATAAGTACACAAATCCTGCAAACACACACTTGTAATTTATGATTTATAGAATTATTTCAAGAATTATTTTGTAACTGATGTACCTTTGTGCATTTATGATATGTAACTTTGTCCATAGCAAGAAGTTCTGCTTGACGCTCCTTTATCTTAGTTTGAATTTTATCCAAATGTACTAGTGACTTTTGCATAAATGTCTGAAAAAAATATTTTATTATTAATATACAATATTTCAAAAATATTTTATTAATAATATACAATATATTATTAATTTATATTATTATTATTATTACATAAGACAATAGAATATTATAACAGAATATTATTATCTTGTATATATTACTTGTGCAAATAATAATATATTTTTTTATCTCCACAAAGAAATTAAATTAATTAATAATATGTATAATTAATAAATTTATTATTTACGTTAGGGCAACAAACAACAACAGGGAAATTCGGAAGTACATCTGCTCCTCTTCCTGGATGTTTATATCCCGAACCTGAATTTTCAGTTCCTCTCGAATCGAAAATTATCAGTATTGCTAATATATCATGCTTTCGTTGAAAACTCTGTATCCTAAAAAAGATGTCTATTAGATAGATGTTGGATATATATGATGTAAGCAATGGTATATCTGTATTTTACTTGTGGTAATAATCCACGCTTTGCTTGCTCATGATACTTCTCATTTCCCCTGGACTAGCTTGTTGACTTAAAGTAGTGTGAAAATACAAAGAACATTTAGCTAATATGGCACTGCGTAGTTTCACCAGCCATTGATACAATGCTGGTTGTTGATTGGCTTTGAGAAATGTTGCGCCAAAACCCAATTTCCAAGACTGAAAGATCTCAGATTAGAATATTATAAATATTATAATATTCTAATATTATAATATTAGAAAAACTGCTTTAATGTTCTCTTATTCGATATATCGCTAACCTCCTTGCTTTGCAAAGTTCTTTCCCAAGCTGACATTCGCGCTTGTGCTCCATAAAGGGCCATTAGAGTCGGTAGAAACCTCCAGTTTTGAACTTCTACTTGCGCTTTCATTAATTGTACTAATATTTCACATTCCAATCTGAATGAAAAAAACTACATTAAATTTTTTCATATATTATAAGTCAAAAATCTAGGAAAAGAAATTAAAAAACAAGGCAGGTAAGCAATTTATAATAATATTATAATAATATTATTTATATAAAAATTACATTTCTGTGAGCGTCTCTATTTCTTTTATATTATTATTTTTATGTACAGCATTGAGAAGGATCTGGATGAAATCGAAACGTTTGCGCTTAATTTTATGTAATTTTTATACGAGTTTCATCATTTCTCTTGAACATTATGATTATTATTTAATATACTAATACTAATTTTTCTTTATATTTGTATCGTACATCAATGCTTGTGATTACTAGCCTTTTTTAATTTCTTTTCCTGGATTTTTATCTCTTAAACCACTTTAATTATTAAAAGTCAAAGTTCATATTTCTAAGAAATGCAAGGATAATACTTACGTTAAACTTGTTTTAATAGCGATTAATGCTAAATGAGAACAGGATAATAAATGGCACTCTACTATTCCTTCTATGCATTGCAGTAATTCTTGATGCTTCATAACTTTGCTATTTGTACTCATATTGTACATTCTCTCATAACTGTAATGTAAGAGTTACAAATATGAGATTAAAGACAGATAAATGAGATATTGATATACTGACAAATCTATCAGCTGGATTCTTGCCGTGATGAATTGGCAGAGTTGACTGGAAACATTTGCGACTGTTGCACCTATAGAGTTTGTTCCCCTCGTCATTTCCTCTAATCTCTTTAAATCAGCCTTTAATGATTCGTATACAGTTTTTAGAGAATTCTGTAAATAATATTAACGTTAAAATTTAATAATTGAATTATCAATAATATTAACGTTAAAATTTGATAATTAAATTGTCAATTTAATTAATTGCTGGATACATACATCCTTCCTAAGGAAGCCTTTATTTTTAGTGTGAAGGAAACCTAAATCTGCATATGAACGCTCCGCTATAACTATCTGTGGTAGATGCAGCAGAAGCATTCCCCATGGACCCATTTGCATCTGCTTGCATGATTCCCTTTCTTTTTCCTGAATTAAATTTATATTATATTTATTAGTGCATATAACACTTAAAATTTTTTTATCACAAATTTTATTTTTATTATTTTTACTCACAACTGTTTCCTTAGCCTTTTCGGAGCACAACTGAGCAACCTGAGTGAAGAAGGCATTAAGGAATTCGTCCTCGTGATCCATTCTCTATTTTCATTTACAGGAAATGCAGGTAAACATATCCTACATCAACGAGGTTATATTGTGACATTTTATGTATACAGATATTGCTTTTTAATTCTTGCTTCCTAAAGATCAAATTTGTTTTTATTGTGTGAATTATAATATTTTCATATGCAGTTTTATCTAAATAATTTGGTATTTTTATTGAGATCAATTTACACCGACTATGCACATGTTTTTACAGCTGGATGTGTTGACTGTGTGCAACACATAAGTCAGTAGTGAACTCTAGCTATAGTTTGCTATCTTTCATACACGTGTACTTTAGATAGAGAGAGAGAGAGAGAGAGAATGAGTGAGTGAGTGAGAGAAAGAGAGGAAGGAAGGGAGGGAAAGAGAGAATTGGAAACAAAATTGAAATAATTATTACTTTTTGACAAATCTCTAATACTCTAATAAATTCAATTATTTTTTTAAAACATATATATGTGTGTGTGTACAGAAAATATAATGAAAATGTATTGATTTATAAAAACCTATGTATTTATGCATATATATATACATATACAAAGTTCCTCAAAAAATATTACAGATTCATAATTGCTCTTTTTACAGCCTTTTCCTTATTTCTTCTGATTTTGTTTTTGTGTTCTTTACTCTTAGTGGCATCTCTGAAAAATTTGATTCCTTCTCGTTCTTCAAGAATGCGCTGTGTGTACATCATTCCATGCAAATTAAATCCAATAGTATCCTAAAAAATTATTAATTATTTTATTTAACAAATAATTAAGTACGTTCTTTCAAGTCCATAAAATTTTTATTACCCTTAAAGTGGATATCTTTTCTACAGCAAGCTTCTTCACACTCTCTAATGTAGGCAAAAGATTTTGATTGGCTACTATTGGACCATGATATGCTTGTATTAAGCATAAAGCTAATCTAACTAATAACTCTACATGGTAATCCCTCTTCAATAAGTTAGGAAGTCTTTGCAAAATATCAGAGGCGGCAGAATACGGCAATAACAGTAATGTTTCTTCCAATTCACTGAAATATATATTTAATTCTTTTTAATATTATTAATATTATTTTTAATATTATTTGAAATATATATTTTCAATTACATTTTTTATGTAATCTATTTAACAATCAATAGATTGTTAAATATATTGCATTTGTTATTCTATTTATTATTATATTTTACCTTGCCCTAACACGCTTAAAGGTTTCCAGTAAGAAGTCTTCTGTACTTGTACAATTATAAGCTTGCATTAACAGAGGAAGAGATGGTGCTTTATCATCCGAAACAGCTGTACTCAATTCTGCTTCGTATTGTTTGGACACTTCCAAACATTCCAGTATCAATTCAGCCTGATATATAAGTAAAATGTATATACAGGATGTTTCAGATCACCTGTACCACCCATTTAAAAACTAGAGAAGTGGTTATTTCAAAAAAGTAAAAACATTTTCTTTATAAATCGGGTGTGCTCTATCGAATGGTGATATTTTCAACCTCTGGTTCCGGCCGGAAATAGGCGATTCAGACCGAAAGTACATTTTTTTAAATGGAACCCTCTATTTTTCATCGCATATTTTTGTAGCTTACTTCGAGAGCTTTCCAAAACACTATAATAAATTATTTTTCCATGAAGTACTTTTCGAGTTATGAGGCTTGAAATCATTTTTTAATTTTACATAAACCATAAAATATCTTTTAAAATATTCATTTTTCGATTATCTTATTTTAATACTTTTATGTATAAAATAATGAGAGGAATCAATTGGTGTAAAGAAAACATACAGTCGTTTTTAAGAAAAAATATGTAATTGTTAATTGCAAATTACATACTTTTTCTTAGAAACAACTATGTGTTTTCTTTACACCAATTGATTCCTCTCATTATTTTGTACATAAAAGTATTCAGGCAAGATAATCGAAAAATGAATATTTTACAAGATATTTTATGGTTTATGTAAAATTAAGAAATGATTTCAAGTGTCATAATTCGATAAGTACTTCATGGAAAAATAATTTATTATAGTGTTTTGGAAAGCTCTCGAGGTAAGCTACAAGAAAATGCTATGAAAAATAGGGGGTTCCATTAAAAAAAATGCACTTCCGGTCTGAATCGCCTATTTCCGGCCGGAAGCAGAAGTTGAAAATATCACCATTCGATAGAGCGCACCCGATTTATAAAGAAAATGTTTTTACTTTTTTGAAATAACTTCTCTAGTTTTTAAATGGATGATACGAGTGATTTGAAACACCCTGTATAATACATAAAATAGATATCTATCTTACAAAAATTATATGTTTCAAAGTAATGCAACTTACAGCCTTTTCACTGTTAACGGTCTTTCTAGAAGGTAAAGTTTGTTGCTTTTGTCCTAATACTGTAGTAGTTTCCCCAGTGACTAGCTCGTTTTCCTGTTGTTCTCTTTCGTCTTCTGCTTCATCTTGCAATACTAATGGTTCATTAGTCTTTTCGTATAATCTAACTACCTTATCAGAACCGCATGAAGCGACGAAAACTCCATTTGGTGAAATGCAACAATTCCAACTTTCCCCAGCATGACCCTACAAAAAGATTGAGTTTATTATAATTGAGTCACCGATATGTAATTTTACAAAATGTAATTTTGCAGTAAAATTTATTACGTGTAACGTGACGATCTTTCGAAATATGTCGGCATCCCATTGTTTGATTTTTCCATCTTTTCCAGAGCTAAAGAAGTAATGTGTTCCAGGTACGAACGAGAGACCTGTAACAGAATCGTCGTGCGCGAATATGGATTTGTGACAATCGCCGAAATCCAAACCCCAGATTTTAATGTTGCGATCGGCAGAACCGGTTGCAATGAGGGTAGAGTCGCTGGATATATCCATACATAACGCTGGCAGTTTATGTCCATAAAGCGATACAAAAAACTAGAATAAAAATATGAAATATTGCACAAAAGAGGTAACATTTAAGATAACAAGATGATTATTATATAATACCTTAAATGTATCTAAGAAGAAGATTTTAATGGTAGAGTCCAATAGAGAAACGGCGACAAATCTGTTATTTGGGCTTATTCTTACACACAGTACACTTTCTTCAAGCTTAAGCGTTCTTGCATGTAAAACAGAAAGAACCTTCGCTTTTATCTGATTGTCGGAGTCTTGAATGAGTTCAAAGTTCCAAAATTTTACCGTTTGATCACCACCACCGCTAGCCACCCCTTTCTACTTGCACAATACCACACAAGTAAAATATATGTATAAAAAACAAAATAAAAATCAATTAAGGTTCAAAATAAATAATTCCTATTAAGATATTTTTCTTCAAAAATATTACCAAATCAGGAAATAACGTCACGCTCCAAAGCTCCTTGGAATGCGCCGGCACTTCTTCCAAAATATCGCCAGATGCGATATCAATAATAAGCATTTTACCATCCTTTAAACCAACAATCAGATGCCTATCACCTGGTACAAATGTTACTGCCAAAGCGTAACCGCACTGTACTGTGCGTAAACACGCCAATGTTGGTCTAAAAATGTAATGCGAGTTAAAAAAGAGCCTTAACATTTATTTTTCATTAAAAATATGTTTCACAATGTATACCTACCTATTCCATAATTTAACTGAATCTCCGCTAACTGTGGCAAATGCCAAATTGTCGGAGCTAAAACAAATAGCTCGGACATCTGTACGATGTCCATGTGCTGTTATTGAACGTAAACGCTTCACTTCAGGTTTTTTTTCTTCCGTGTGTAAAGAATATAATTCAATTGAATTGTTATTATCTCCAACGCATATCTGCACAAAAGAAATCAAATATAATATAAATTATAATACAGGGTGTCCCAAAAATCCCGGACCGGTCGAATATTTCATAAACTATGCATTTTAGAAAGAAATGTTTCAGACAAAAGTTGTATGACTTGAAGGGGGCCATCAGATAGTGGCAATGATTTGACATGGGAGAGTCATTTGAAAGTCACGTGAAGTCACCTTCAATTTCTTAAATGGAACCCCCTATTTTTATTAGATATTCGTGTAGCCTATCTCGAAAACTTTCCAAAACACTATAATAAAGTATTTCTTCATTGAGTACTTTTCGAATTATGAGGCTGAAATCATTTCTTAATTTTACATATAAATATATACATATAATATATATATTACATATAATATATATTACAATAATATATATTACATATAAATATATTTTACATATAAATCGTAAAATATCTTGTAAAATATTCATTTTTCGATTATCTTACCTTAATACTTTTATGTACAAAATAATGAGAAGAATCAATTGGTGTAAAGAAAAAACATAATTGTTTTTAAAGAAAAAAATATGTAATTTGCAATTAACAATTACATATTTTTTTTAAAACAACTATGTATTTTCTTTACACCAATTGATTCCTTTCATTATTTTATACATAAAATTATTAAGATAATCGAAAAATGAATATTTTACTAGATATTTTATGATTCATGCAAAATTAAGAAATGATTTCAAGCCTCATAATTCGAAAAGTACTCAATGAAGAAATACTTTATTATAGTGTTTTGGAAAGTTCTCGAGGTAGGCTACACGAATATGTAATAAAAAATAGGGGGTTCCATTTAAGAAATTGAAAGTGATCTTCACGTGACTTTCAAATGACTCTCCCATGTCAAATGATTGCCACTATCTGATGGCCTCCTTCAACCCATACAACTTTTGTCTGAAACATTTCTTTCTAAAATGCATAGTTTATGAAATATTCGACCGGTCCGGGACTTTTGGGACACCCTGTATAATTAAATATAAATTATAATATAATAATCATATATAATTAAATATAAATTATAATATAATAATTATATATAATTAAATATAAATTATAATATACTAAAATATAATATAATATAAATTTTTCAGATGATTTTGTGTATTTAATATTTATATGATTATACTAACTCTAAGCTCGTTTCCTTTACCCATAATTAAATCAAATCCTCTTGGTTTACCAAGTATTTGAACAATAGGTAAACGTTTTATCTCATCTCTGAGAGCTGGTGCATTTGGTAGCTCCTCTGTATTATTCTCTTCCCTATGTATGATAAGGAAACATGCATATGTTATTGAATCTTCTTAGAAATAGATTTAAAATAAATTAACATAAATTTTAACTCACTGCTGAGCTTGATGTCTTTCCTTCTTCAATCTTTTCGTAAATCTATTCTTTACTATGTCGTCGGGCAATAGATGGAATAATTCTATAGAATTCCCCGCTCCATGACATCCAAGAATTTTGCCGGTAGAGTCAACTTCCAAGGAGGTGACTCGGCCACCACCTGCTCTTAATATACCCCCAATTTTCTTGCATCTTATAGGATATTTCTATAAAAAATTAAAATAAACATTAATGTTATTTTACTTTGATCATGTACAGACAAATAATGTTAGAAACTCAGTCTAGATATAATGTATACAAATGTAAGTACATACCATATCCACATCCATTTCCATGCTTTCCTCATTTTCCTCATCAAGATCCAAAGCACTTACAGCAGCATCAAGTTCAATATTCTTGTTATCAAGAATGGTTATTTTCCAAACACGCAATTCTTTATCATTGCATCCTGTTATTAAATATTGATCATCCTTCACTAAGATAAAACTCCAAACCTGTTTAGTACAAACATATCAAGTCTTTCAAGTAGATAGAGGAAAAGAGTGAACTAATATAATTAATAAAAAAATATAATAAGAGCGTAATTAAACAGCTTACTTCTGATCTATGTCCAACAAGAGTTTTGAAGTTATGCTCTGTGTCTAAATCCCAAAACTTTACAAATGTATCCTTGCTACTGCTGATAATAATGTTGTGTTCTCTCATAAATGCCAATTTAGTTATGACACCTTTGTGCCCAGTTAATCGACATATTCCTGTTTCAGCTACCACATCCCAGATAATGATATCTGTGTCCTATTATATTAACAAAAAAAGAAGTCACAAGTACTTAAAATTACACAATATAATTATATCAATAAAACATTCTTACCTTGGAACCAGTGGCTAATCTATGTCCTAAAGTGTCATATGCCAATGCTGTTATTTCAGATTTGTGTCCTACAAATACACTGACATTTTCACCAGTGGTTAAATCAAAGATCTTCACTGTACCATCTGCATAACCGACAGCAATATGCCTTTTATTGGGTGATGCAGCTAGACGTGTTACACATATCTTCTCTCCAGATAATACTTGCGCCTGAATTTATATATTATATATATTTAAATAATTATATATCATATATTAAAATAATTATATATCATATATTAAAATAATTATATATCATATATTAAAATAATTATATATTATATATTAAAATATTATATATTATTATATATTAATTATATATTAAAATTATATATATTATATATTAATTATATATTATATATTAAAATTATAAAGATATTATAATTATTTCTATATTAAATTCTTTTATTTTTCTGTCCTTACCTTTTCTCCAAGACGTAGATCCCAAATATATACATGTTCACATGCAGCAGCAGCAACAAATCTACCTTCTTGATTTTCCAATGTTACAAAGGCAACGTTACAACGTGGGCTTACAATTATATTCGCATTACCTGCTGGTACATATCTCAGATATTGTTTGGTTAAACCCATTTTGTATGTTTAACTACAAATTAAATAGAAAAAAATTACATATATTTCTCTTGTTTCTTTTTTCAGATTTAACTAATTTGAGGGTATATACGCACATGTGTCATCACATGTTTGCATGCATACAAGTGAGAAATCAAACTTAAAAGTTGCCTAAACTGTCTGAAAGAATGGCGCATGCGCAATGAACGAGGGCTGTACGATAGTATCCGTCTTTAACGACTGATAGCACCACTGATTCAAAATTCAAAATTTCAGACAGATTTATCTAAAAAGATGTTTTTAAGAAAAAATATGTATTGTTAATTGCAAATTACATATTTTTTCTTTCGAAACAATTATGTGTTTTCTTTACATCAATTGATTCCTCTCATTATTTTGTACATAAAAGTATTAAGATAAGATAATCAAAAAATGAATATTTTATTAGATATTTTATGATTTATGTAAAATTAAGATATTATTTTAAGCCTCATAACTTGAAAAGTATTTCGTGACAAAATACTTTATTATAGTGTTTTGGAAAGCTCTCGAGATAAGCTACAAGAATATGTAATAAAAATAGGGGATCTCATTTAAAAATTTCAAGTTGACCTTGAAATGATCCCTAAATTAGACTCCAAGGTCAGAGTTAGGGTCACCATCAGGTATCCCTTTCTGAACCCTACAACTTTTGTATGAAACATTTTTTTCCATCTTGCTTACTTTACGAGATATTTGCGTGCATCGATTAAAATGACTTACCTATATATATATTTATAAGTATTTCTAACAAATATTTTCCAACAATAAGATATTCAGTTCAGTTTGAGATAAATTGAACTATTTTGACATATAAAAAAGTAGAATAAAAATGACTGATAAATTCAGAATAAAGTAACAATCTCATAAATAAATAAATAAATAAATAAATAAATAAATAAAATATATATATATATATATATATATATATCAAAATATAAAATAATGTAACTTATAATAATTCTCCAATAGTTGTAGTATATAAGAGTGTACATTGTAGTATAGAAGAGTGTATGAGTGTACATTGTAGTATATAAGTTGTAGTATATAAGAGTGTACATTATATGAGATAAATATTTCATAATAGAACAAAAAAAAAATATATATATATATATTTTTTTTTTCTATTATTGCATACATTATGAATTTGTATAATTATATATATATATATATATATATATATATATATATAATTATACAAATTGTATAATTATAATTATATATATATATAATCATACAAATATATATATATATATATATATATATATATATATATAATTATACAAATTCATAATGTATGCAATAATTTTGTGAATAAGTGTGTTTATAAAAAATAGATAATATATATGTAATATCTATATGTTATAACACAATTTATTATTCATTACAAAGGAATCGTAGAAAGAAGTACATAGTAATCTAACTGTACAAATAGCACAAGAGACAGTCAAACTTTCACCAGAATCATTCACTCATGTTCAAGTGCCATATGTATCAATGAAATTCAGTCTGAGTGTTCGTTTTGTTGAACATTGAATAAAAGGCACTGGCAAGAATTGCTTCTCTTGTTTTTCCTAATAATATACAACTTCTATTTTTTCATCGCATCAACGTATCAGCTAAATTTATTTACACATTTAACATCAAAGAGTAACATTGTTACTTCTCGATGCACCTCTCTTTTACAATCAGAATAATTTTAGATATTCAAATAATCGTAATTAATCATCATGTAAACACTAAGAAAGTGTTCAGCTTTTTTTCTTTGATTTATCTATTTTTTTTTTAACATAACGTCATCTTTTTTCAAACATAATGCAAATAAATTACATAATTCTTTTTTCACATTGAAAAGTATAGCTACGCTCGCGTTCGGCATTTATAAATATTATAAAATAGCTTCTTTTTAAAACGCGAATTCAATTTGCTAATAACTAACTTAAGTCTCGTACATATCAGAAATATTCCCAGACAGCACGAAAAGGCGAAAAGATGTCTTAAAGATGTCTAAAGGACTTTAAGACGTCTTTAAGTCGTCTTTTAAGATGTCTTTTGGACATGTGTGCTGTCTGAGACATTGGCAATAACGGTAATTCCGCTGTTGCAATTTTACAGTTCCGCTTGTAAAGGAAGCATAAGTAAAGCACACTCAGATTGGTCGCTGTTATCGTTCACCAAAAAGGTCCCGAAAGTACATCCATAGCGGAAAACACAAGTTCTATCTATTATGCTGCGGTTCTACAATCTGTTCTCCACTGTGAACCGGTTGTGTGAGTGTATTTTGAAACCACATCATCCAGTTGCTCAGGTAATGGCCGTCCAATTGACTTTCGGGACTGTCCCTTATCTGCACATCGTTCAATTCTTGAAAATTGCGAACGGTTCGGAGTTCCGTAAAATTATTGTTCACCGAATGGCCCCCATGCATCCTTACCTCTCTCTTTCTAAAGGCGTCCTTTACTAACCTTTGCCTACGCTCCTCTTCCGTCTCAATAGCGGACCGCGTGAATCTCATTTCCCTGGCCCTTAGAGCGTCCCTTCGCAATCTCTCCTTCCTCTCCTCCTCCGTCTCTTTAGCGTACTGATTCAATCGAGCCTCTCGTCTCTTCGCCGATTCTCTGTTAAGCCTCTCCCGTCTCTGCTCTGGTGTTTCGCTCGCGTATAACGACAATCTCTTGATTCTCCTCCTCTCAGCCTCGCGGTCCAGTCTCTTTCTTCTATCCTCTGGCGTCTCGTTATACATTCTATACTCTCTTTTTCGCGCTGCTTCAGCGTCGAGCCTCTTCCTTCGTTGCTCCGGTGTCTCGTAATACATTCTCATCTCGCGTCTCTTCGCCGCTTCCTTCGCCAACCTTTGCAGACGCTGCTCCTCGCTCTCCTGTTCGTACAGCTTCTTCCGTTTCTCTCTCATACACTCGGCCTTTTTCCTCAATCTTTCTTTGTAATCTTGATGTACGCTGGCTTTTATTCTAACGTGTTTTTTGGATCTTCTAGACAGCTTCGTTTTTTCCAAGGTATCCTTGTCCGTTAATTGATTCTTACGTTTTGCTACCGCGATCACGCCAGTCAATGGATCAATATTAACGGGGACTTGTATATTCTGCTTGGCATCCTTCAAGACTCTCAGTCGTATGCTAGTATCGTTATTGTCGTCGCATAACCATTCCGCTGTGTATAGGGTGCTGTGACCCTCGTCATCCTCCTTTTTTATGTTGATATTAAGCCCGTCTAAGAACTCGTTCGGTATCGTCACTGTAGATATATTGTAATTGGTCGTTTGCTCATCGTTCCGAATGAACACTTCTGCTGCGCCTGATTGTTTCTGGAACTCGATATTTATGGAATCGGAATCCAAGGTGTCCAAGTAAATCGAGTCTGTCAATACATTAGTGATGGCACTACTTTGTACATTCCCTAAGGTAGAATCCGAAGTGCTCGATTCGTTCACTTCGTTCTGGTCTTTATCAATCGCTTTCTCATCGGTTACATGATAATTCTTGGCCTCTTTGATCTCAATAGCACAAAAGTGTTGCGCTGCTGCAATTATTTCGACCTCATTAAGATCCGTGTCAGGATCATCGCTCTTCCGCTTGTCGCTGTACCCTGAGATCAAGTCTGTCGGCTGATTTCTTATTTGTACATTATCTTCAGATATTTCCATGTCCCTTTAGAGATCGGATGATGACTGAACACTGAAATTATATGGCAATAATATATATAATTGTTCTACAAAAAACAATATTCTGCTCTAATTATAATATAACACACACATACACACACACATTTAAGATATTTATATATATTTTTCAAAAAAATATATAAAAGAATATTAAAATGTTAAAAAGTATTTACGGAAAAAGGGAAGAAAAAAAGAGGATTTTAATAATTGTTTTCAGATTATCAATAGAGAATTATGATAATTAGATAGAGCCTGTCAGTCGAAATGTGCTCCATACCTGCGTATCGTCTGCTTGACAGCTGATTCAAGATGGCAACGCAAATGATACCTTGGAATCGTGCATTTTCGCAGTATCCTTAAGCAATACGCACGATGCGCTCATCATTTTTATCCCCTTATGTCACATGATAATGTAAATCATGCGTAAATTTAGCACTCGTCTTAATTAATTCGGCAACCTTATCCGAAATTCACCTGCATGTCGAGCATCGCTCTTCCAGCCACACGTTTTTCGTCATCGCTAACGCAACGAAACTAGAGAGCGGACTCGGCGATATAATTTTGAGCCGCGTTTCGAGTAAAAAATGGCGCCAAGGATAATTTTACGTCGTAGAGCGCGGTATCGTCGACGATTCGTTCTCTTCGATTGGCTACAATATAATGGGAAGTATGTGAAATTATATCATAGATGTAATTCTATTCTAATATTTATTTATAGGGATAAGGTCGACAAGATGGCGGGTCTTGATTATTCACAGTCAGCTTTAACTGTCTCGCTTCTCCTTTTATTTATTAATTATTTATTTATTATTTATTAATTTATTATTAATTATTTATTAATTTATTATTAATTAATTAATTATTTTAAATTAATTAATTATATTTATTAATTTATTATTTTAAATTAATTGAAATAATAAATTAAATGTAATAAAAAGATTAATTTAAAATAATAAATTAATAAATATAATTAATTAATTTAAAATAATGAATTAATAAATAATAAATTAATAATAAATTAATAATAAACTAATAAATAATAAAGATGACTTAAATAATAAATTAATTCATAAATGATATAACTTAAATAAATAAATTAATAAATAATAACTTAAATAATAAATTAATAAATATAATTAATTAATCTGAAATAAATAGATTAAGAAATTAATAAATATAATCAATTGAATTGAATTAATAAACTCATAAATAATAAATTACTAAATATAATTAATTAATTTAAAATAATAAATTAATAAGTAATAAATTAATAATAAAATACTAAATATAATTAATTAACTTGAAATAATAAAATATCGGAGAACAATTCTTTAGCAAAATTCCAAACCATATCTTCTTCCTCCTTCCTCGTAAGATTTATGCCGAGGGTTCACTTAACAAAGGCTTGTGTCAGTCAATGTTTTTTGTATCCAATTACGCGGGTGCTTAATAAATATGGGAGGATGCGTCTAAAAATGGTCATCGATTCTTCGATTCATCTTCGATATCGATAAACTGAAAAAATGCATACGTGTGTGTATTTTGTGTGTGTGTGTGTGTGTGTGTGTGTGTGTGTGTGTGTGTGTGTGTGTGTGTGTGTATCCGCACTTTTTGCCAATTCGATCTCCTTCCAGGAACATGACTCTCGATCATACACCATTAATTGCCGGCGTGATGCATAACAATTAGCTTTTTTCCAGTCGTCGTCGCCCAAACACACGCATATCCAGATTATCACGATGTCAACCAACTCCAAATGGAAACGTCTTAATTATCGGAGCACGTATGGTACCGGGGACGGGGCAATTCAGGCACGTCCAGAAGGAAAAGGGGGGTGGGGGGGAGAAGAAGGGAGCAAAAACTGTCAACCGGCCCGCAAACGAATGACTTGAGACAATAAGGAAAGATATAGTGAATATACGGGGACATACGCTATATAAGTCTATCGAACCGTTTCTCGTCCCGTCACCAAAAGAGACGTTTATCTCGTCGCGAAATAAAGAAATAAAGAAACGTCCCGCGGAGATGTAATACGCCGATAAATCGCGGAAAAAAATCCTTTATAGGCCCGGTCGCTCGTATCGATGGGACTGGGATGGATGGTCTTCAAGATCACACCTCTTGCGCGACGCAAGATCGTAAGAATAATGTCTACGTCTGACATCATTAATGATAATATCTGAATACGAATCAAACAGAGAATAAAATAAAATGTTACATGATATGTACTGTTACATAACAGATAGTTATAATTTCCCACTCAACAATATATAAAGTTATATAACAGTTATGTAACATTTCATTTTATTCTCTGTTTGATTTTATTCCGAGCAAATAATATAATTACATCCATTTTTATATGATTTTCGAGATGACAGTTAAAATGTCAGGTAAGTTTACAGTTAAGTTTTCTTTAAGGATGTTTTGTACAATTCCAGCAAAAAATAGCTGAAAATCAATATTGATGAATATATCCACTTTTGGTGTATTTTGGTGTATTTTGAAATTGTGTGGAATATTACAATTTGATTTTAGCTACAGTGCAGAGATGTATTTTTTAATATTTATTGCGGTTTACTGAAGTATATTCCAAATGTTGTTAATCGAAATGATTAACTTTTGGCAGAGAATTTCGCCTTGTGACAGATACATGGCTAACTTTATTAAATTATATTTAATATCTTTTTAATCAGTTAGTATTTATATAATATTATTCGACCAAATATTTCCTCTGTATCTAAACTTTTGCAAATTTTAAACAAATTCTGAATATTATTTCCATGTGTTTTTTTCATTTGAATCGATGTGGTTATATGTTTCTCATAAAAACTTATGTTAATTCGGTGCAAATTAAAATCCTTATAACTTGTGAATCAATTTAAAAATTGTACTGTGAAGATTCTAAACATAATGTAAAGACATTCTGTATAATTTTCATTAAATTCTCAATATTTTGAAAATAGGTACGAAACATCTTTAAATCGTCAAATTAAGAATGTTTTGTACCTATTTTCAAAATATTGAGAATTTAATGAAAATTGTACAGAATGTCTTTACATATGTTTAGAATCTTCAGTACAATTTTTAAATCGATTCACTAAAGCCTTCACAAGCTAAAAGGATTTTAATTTGTACCGAATTAACATGTGTTCTTATGGGAAACGTATAACGTCGATTCAAAAGACAAAAACACATGGAAATAATATTCAAAATTTGTTTAAAATTTGCAAAAGTTTAGATACAGAGGAAATATTTGGTCGAATAATATTATACAAATACTAACTGATTAAAAAGATATTAAATATTAAAAAGATATTAAATATAATTTAATAAAGTTAGCCATGTATCTGTCATAAGGCGAAATTCTCTACCAAAAGTTAATCATTTCGATTAACAACATTTGGAATATACTTCAGTAAAAACGCAATAAATATTAAAAAATACATCTCTGTACTGTAGCTAAAATCAAATTGTAATATTCCACACAATTTCTTACTCAAAATACACCAAAAGTGGATATTCAATTTTCCTTTGCACATATTTTTGTTAATTTTTATTATATAATGTCAGCAGTTTCAAACTCATAATTATTTGCAATTCTCTTCTAATTAATTTCTGTCATATTAATATATCGTTATTTTTGAATTTTTAATTTGTAAATATTCGTTTTTTATATCTGATCTTCTGTCTGCATTACAATAACAATCACTGGTCTATTTTAACTCCTTTGTTACTCATTTCACCTTCTGATTTTCATATGTATTTAATTATATAATCATGAATATATAATCTTTATCTATAGAGTATTATTTCGAATTATTTTATGCTACGTCAAACTTTGTGCAGTGGTTTTTTTGCCTTTTTATTGTATTTTATTAAAGTATATATATATATATATATCCGTCAATATTGATTTTCAGCTACATTTTGCTGGGATTGTACAAAGCATATCCTTAATGATAATTGTCGAATTCGAGTGATGATTATCAAAGACAGGATTTCATCAGCGAATGTCGCGATCCGGTTTTGCTTTTTTTTCGCGACCGTTTGACAAAATCATTAGGGACTAAATCCAATAAAGGAGTCCGCGCGGGACTCGGTCGTAAGAAAACATTCCCGTCGAGAGGCGATCCCGGCAACATCGTAATCGGCATCAATGATACCTCCTTAATGTCCACGGTCTTCATTCAGCTCACGCCGTCCCGTTTTCCGCCGAAATATTCTTCTTGCTCTCGTCGCGCTATTAAATTAAGAGGATTAAAACCCTAAATAATTCTCGAGCGCGAGGCGACGAGGCTCTTTGGTGAGCCACGCGTCGAAACCGGTCTTTCCTAACATCGAAATAGCGAGTGGACGCGGTATATTAAAGTAATCGATGTATTAAATAAAATTAGAGTCGTTTATTGCCGCATCTTCAGCTTTGCGTAATTTTATACCGAGATAAGCTCTAGTAATTTGTGATTATCCTCGAAATAGTGAACATTTATGACTAATCTAAAAAATTTTTATATTCTTACGAAATCTTATTCGACGATGGAAATTTATTATTATGTTAAAAATAACGCAAGGAAATAAAACTAACAGATAATTTAAATTAAAGGAAGAAAAATTCTAAATTATTTAGAATATTGTTGTACAATTAATTTAGATAATATTAAGAATTGTTTACGCCTGATATTGATGCTATTATTAACAATACTCAATGATTGAATTTTATTTTATAAAACATTAATTCTTTAATAATTTAAAATTATCAATTCTTCAGAATTATAATATAAATTATTAAACGGGATAATTAAAATGTTATATATATATATATATATATATATATATATATAACATTTTAATTATCCCGTTTAATAATTTATATTATAATTCTGAAGAATTGATAATTTTAAATTATTAAAGAATTAATGTTTTATAAAATAAAATTCAATCATTGAGTATTGTTAATATATATGTATTGGTATATGTACTCATAATATATGAGTATTGTTAATATATATATATATATATATATATATATATATATATATATATATTAACAATTAATTCAGTTCATCTTTTGTCGGTAATAATGTCGAGATATTATTGCAACAATATTTATTATTGCAAAAATGCCGCGACTCGTTTCGTACAAATTGTGCGATTTTTTAAGGATTTACGCGCGTATATTTTTCTGAACGATGAATAACGCGATTGTATCCTTTCTAAGCGAAGGAGGTCCATGTTGACCGAGATTAATGCCATGTTGAGTACGTCTGGCAAAACGTTTTCTATTAAGCCATTACAGACAAGATTTTCATTGAAAAGTAATTTAGAATACATATTTATATTTTTTTCACGATTAAGACTAACAGACTAACTAACTGAAAATTATGTATCGACTGTAACTCTTGTTGTAACCATATGGTCACAATAGTACTTAAAGGATTAAGCGCGTGGAAACATCAATGCGCGGTTAGCTACGAAAGATAATTTAATAAAGTAGAGATAAAATATATGCAGCGAACAAACAC